TACTGGGACAATAGAGGAATCTGAATAAGGTCTATAGATTAGTTTTTTAAAAGGGTTTTATTGGGGAATTGGGGGAGGGGAACAGCATTGGGGAATTGGGGAACAGACAAGTTGCTGTCCTTTTGTTTTTCAGCCTAGTTGTGGAGGACGTCGCTTCACTGGCCCATGTTAGTATTATCATTGCGCTTTTCCTGGGTGAGGCAGATCCGTCGCTGGTCACTGGGCGGCCGCTCACAGCGGCTCTTGGCAGCTCACGCCAGCCGGCTCACAGTAGCTTATGGGAGTCCACTGCAGCTCCACTGCAGCCTACACCGTCACCAGTGATTCATGGCAGCCCAGCTCCAGGTCGAGCTGTTGTTCACCATCTTAGCTGTAGAGGGCGCAGTGTCACTGGCCCTAATGTGGGATCCGATCCCGGGCCCTGCTGCTCAGAGCTGGCGTCCCAAGCCAGCTGTAGATTAGTTAATAGTACTATATCAATGTTAATTTCCTGATTTTGTAACTATATTGTTTAATTATATAAAATATTAATTCTTGGGGAAGGGTATTCTCAAAATTCTTTTTTTTTTATTGTTGCAACTTTGGTAAGTATGACACTATTCCAAAATGAAGAGTTAAAATAAGAACATCTAAAAGATACAAAAAAGCCTAATGAAAAGTAATCTTTTCTTCTATTCCTATTTTCCAATTACCCAATTTCCCTTCCCAGGGGTATCTGCTGTTTCTAGACATGTGCTATTTACTTTAAACAAAATTTTAAACTTTTTAAGGAAATAACACATTCAATGAATTTCAGTAAATTATAAATACCCCAGATTGAATTTATTAATATTTATACTGATCAACTGTTATGTGTTTAGTATAATGTGAAAGATATCAAGAAGCATCTTTTCTATTTGTCTTTAAGGGTTTAAACAAAATCTATGGTTTATATACTTAAATGTATTCATAAGTAGTATGTTTTATGGTGTCAAATCACTTCCTTCTTTCCCAGTATACCAATTTTACTCTGTCTCCAATTTAGGAAAGGACTTGCTCCCATTGGTTAAGTACAAAATCAATCAATTGCTTGGAACTCAAGCTCATTTACTCACAGAAGTTGCATCATATGTGATAGTTAGATTCCCTGCTTAGCTTAGAAAACAGCCAATTTCAACTATAATGTACACAAGGGTCAGTTCCAATATAATACATATAAATTAGAACCAAATTCTCATTTATAAAAACACTGCTATGAAAAAAATGTCTCCGGTGTTCCAACTTGAGAAGTCAGGCACATGCTGTCCTTCAATCTCCTCCTTTTTTCAACCTCTCAACTCATGACTACTCTTTTCCACACCCTAGAAAAAGAGCCAGATACTCCTAACTTTTCTTCCCACCCGCAAACCTTCGCATGGTAGTGTGCTAAGCTAAGTGGCAAAGGTAGTGCTAGCGTGGAGTTATGTAACTCTCCACTGTACCCCATGCTGAAGAGTGAGGAGAACAGGCAGAATTAACGAGAGAAGGCTCATATCTGGGTGTATGTATATATGGTAAATAGTACTGTTCACATATATTCACATATGCTGTCTCATATAATTCCCCACCCCATCAGTGTTAGGCTTGGATATGTGATTTGCTTTAGGCAATGAAATTTAAGTGGAAATGATGTATACTACATCTAAGCAGAAGCTTTAAAATCACTTAGGTGATCTGATTTGGGTCTCCTGCGAACCTGCCCTCAGCCTCAGATACAGGCTGCTCTTTTAGTCTTCTAGGGATGAGAAACTAAGTGCAACAGACCCAAAGTTGATGCAGTAAGAGAGCCACAGCCAACCTCATGTAATGGTAAGAGAAAAAAGCCTCTGAGATTTAGGAGTTTTTGTGGTAGCAAAATCTGGCTAATACAGGAATTCCTCTTCATCCAGTATCCCTCAAAATAATATCTGTCTGGGGCCAGCCAAGTGGTGCGTTGGTTAGGAGTTGGCTTGGGACGCCAGCTCTGAGCAGCAGGGCCCTGGTTTGGATCCCACATGAGGGCCAGAGATGCTGCACTCTCTACAGCTAAGATAGTGAACAACAGCTCGACCTGGAGCTGGGCTGCTGTGAGTCGACGGCGTAGGCTGCAGTGAGGCTGGCCAGCAGCGGGCATGAGCTTTCGTGAGCTGCCGTGAGCCCATTCAATGGTCGGCGAGCGACTGCCTCACCCAGGAAGAGCGCAATGATAATACCAACATGGGCCAGTGAGGCAACGTCCTCCATAACTAGACTGAAGAACAAAAAAAACAGCAACTTGTCTGTTCCCATTCCCCAATTCCCCAATAAAATATTTTTTAAAAATTAACAATAATAACATCTCTCTGGCAACTACAGACCTTGTAGCTTATGGACAACTATTAGAGGTCAGAAACAGTGACTAAATCAAAACTACAATGAGATATCACCTCACACCTGTCAGAATGGCTACCATCAAAAAGAAATGACAAGTGTTGGCAGGGAAGTAGAGAAAAAGGAACACTTGTGCACTGGTGGTGGAAATGTAAATTGGTGCAGCCAGTATGGAAAACAGGATGAAGGCTCCTCAAAAAATTAAAGAGAACTACCATATAATCCAGCAATTCTACTTCTGGGTCTTCATCTGAGGGAAACAAAAACACTAACTCAAAAAGATATCCACATCCCCATGTTCACTGCAGCATTATTTACAATACTCAAAACAAGGAAACAACCTAAGAGTAGTGGATCCTAAGAGTACGTGGATCCGTCAATGGATGAATGGATAAAGAAAATGTGATATAACACAATGGAAGTCAGCCATAAAAAAGATGGAAATCTTGCCTTCTGAGACAAGATGGATGGACCTTGAGGGCATTATGCTATTTAAGATAAGTCAGACAGATAAAGACAAATACTGTATGATCTCACTTGTATGTGGAATCTAAACAACAATAACAAACAACAACAAACAAAATAAAAAAGCAAACTCACAGATACAGAGAACAGATTGGTGGTTGCCAGTGGCTGGGGGGGATGAAGGGTAGGGCAAAAATTGGTGACGGTAGTCAAAAGGTACAAACAAACTTCCAGTTATAAAATAAATAAGTCACAGGGATATAATATACGGCATGGTGCCTACAGTTAACAATGCTGTATTGTATATTTGCAAGTTGTTAGGAGAGTAGATGTATATTTGCAAGTTGTTAGGAGAGTAGATCTGAAAAGTTCTCATTACAAGAAAAAAACTTTGTAACTGTGCGGTGACAAATATTAACTAGATTTGTTGTGATCATTTTGCATTATACACAAATATCAAATCATGTTGTACACTTGTACATATATAATGTTATATACCGATTATATCTCAGAAAAGAAAAAGAGAAGAGGGGAGAAGAGGGGAGAGGAGGGGAGGGAAGGGTAGGGGAGAGGAGACCGTGACTAAAGCTAGAAAGGACAGGGGCAGGCAATGCTGGTCTGAAGAATTACAGAAAATGTTTTCTATGTTACCCTCATCTCTTGCCTGGATTTCTTTAATAGCCTTCCTATTGCTCTCTTCTCCCACCCGCCAACCTGGTTGGCACATAGTATCAAGACCAATTCTTTGAAAATATAAAACAGATCACGTTGCTCCCCTGCCAGATCATAAGGAGTCTTGTAGGCCATAGTAAGGAATTCAGGTTTCATGGCAAAGAAAGAAAATGCAAACATAACAGTGTGGCCAGTTACCAAAGAGTCAAATGATTTCCCTAAATCTTAGTGAGTCTTAAGGTAAACTACAGTAGTACAAAATAATGCTTCATATTCAAAATAATGGCATTATAAAAAAACACTAAAGTATGTCTTAGCATCCTCCATTTATAATGAGAGGAAAATAATCTATTTAAAAAATATTTCTCTTTAGCGATGGTTAAATTTTGCTAAAATTTGAGGGATATTCAAGATATTACTCAATATATCCAGGATACATTCTCCAATGGCTCTGGGTAGGCTATGGTCTATTGCTATTTTTTCAACTATAGTCAACCGGCATGTATATGCATTGCTTCTATGGAAAAATACGTTCCAAGTTCAGTTCTGTTATTTTTTTCTTAGTATCTCCAATGTGTAAGGTACTACATAAAGATTTATAGGCTATAGTCCCTGCTTACAAGGATCTTGCAATATAATGAAGGACTCAGACATACAAATACTTAGGAATGCCAGGAATATTGGTTGTTACCAACACTTAGGGCCGAATTTATTTTCCACCCTGAAGCAGAGATTAGATTGGTTATGACTAGATTGCAGGAAGCAGCTAAGAGCAAAAAGTAGGTGCCTCTGAGCACAGTAACCTGTTAACTTCTAACACTTGCAAAAGAAATGTACCTTTCTTTCTGTCATGATATTCCACACAAGTGAACAAAGAATTGTGTGATTAGGTGCCCAAATAATGAGCACTGAAAATAGCTCCCCTGATGCCTGTTTCTTCCTTGGTGATTCTTAAGTCAGATGTACATATAAAGCAGAAACTGTATGTTTTATGTTATGGGTAACCCCAAATGTAGTTTTACACATAAAAATAAGAATGGTAAAATCATAAGTGTAATACAGGAAAAGAAAGTTTCAAATAACTTTTGCCTTTTATCTTTAAAACACAGGGTTGTAACTCTTCTATACAAGCACCTCAGTATATATAATATACTGTTGCAAATATAAGTAGAGGGGAAGGGATGCATTAGAATCATTCTTTAAAAAAAACAGCATTATAACAAAATAATATACACTCCCTGTTTCATATTATATACAAGAATAGGGTAAAAAGAAAATGAGTAAACAAAATCATATATAGGTACAAACTGTTACTAAACATTCAAAATATTGATTCATATCTAGAAAATATGAAGTAAGGTTGTTTAACAAAAGAGTCAATAAATTTACAAATTCAGATTCTATAATATATAAAAATCAGCAATAAGTCTACAAGATTTTTAATAGACAAATATGATATACACACAAAAAAACACAAAATTAGCACTCTGACTTACCGTAATAAGAGTTCTTTGGGAAGTTTTTTATTGATTACAGCTTCATCACTATTTGAGAACATCTGCAAAAACAAAATCATTATGTCAAGTGTTACTTAACATTTTATTATGTTCAACTCAACAGTTTAGAGTTAATCCTCTTAGGAGAGAGGCGAGTAAGTACTGTGTGTAATAAGCCAGTCATATTTTCAGAGACTCATTAGGCTGAAAAACATTTTGAGACATTTAATTTGTTCCCTGTGTGCCAGGTACTGTTTTAAGTGTTTTTCATGTATTAATGTATTGAATCTTCATATTATCCCTAATCTCAATTTTACATATAAGGAAACTCAGTTACAAAAGGTTTACCTGCTTGAAATCACATCACTACAGAGTGACCATTTAAAAATGACATTAAGGTAAGGTGATTCCCCAAATCGAACTCACATTTACTTGTTCAAGGAGATGCTCAGAAACTTGGATAGGGAACGTTCTCTTTAGAGTTTTATGTATCATGCAGAAAAACGATGTTCCATAACTACCACCATATACATTCTTGGTGTGCTTATTTAACAAATTAATCGAAATTCAACAGAGCCACCATTTCTTCCACAAAGGGTATCATGACTGTAAGCTTCTCTAGTAAGCTACATTAAAAAAAACAACCTCACACACCTATATCCAATAAAAATCACAACCATTAAGTAATACAGAGCTGCAATGAACTTGACTTCATGCAGTGAACATTTACTGAACACCCTGTCAATATCAGGCACTTTTCCAGGCAATGAGATACAAAGAAGACATAAGTTATCTCTGTACTTAAGAAGGTCTTGCTCTAAAATGAAGAACACACAAATAAGCAAATACTTTACTAATTATTAGAGAAAAATGACAAGTGGTATATGAGAGCAAAGGATCAAACAACTATTCTGCTCACAGGTGATCTCTAAAACTGGATCTTAAAGAAATGCCAGTTAACTAGAGAAAAAAGGGAGGTAAGATGTGTAAAAGCATGGAGTCACACATACGAGTAGGTCCTGGCATTTCATGAGTCAAAGTATAAGAAGTAATGCAGGGGAACTTGAAGGGGAGGGAGGTAGTGGACAGAATGTACTTCCTCCTCAACCTCAGACATCTAAACCATAGTGGTTCACAAACTGTGGTCACCTGACCAGCAGCATCAGCAAGTGGAACCTTGTTAGAAATGCAAATTCTTGCGCTGTACCCCAGACCTATTGAATCAGGTACTGGGGTTGCAGAAGAGATGGAGGGAAAGGGGGGAGCCATCTGTAGTTTAACAAGCACTCCAGGTGTTACTGATGCTTCCTAAAGTTTGAGAACCAATGGGCCAGGTCAAGTAGATTGAGAATCTTGGGACCCAAGAAATCACAGTTCTAACAGATAATCAGAATACAGTAAAACCTTAGATTGCGAGTAACTTGGTTTGTGAGTGTTTCGCAAGACGAACAAACATTTCTATTAGGTTGGTGCAAAAGTAATAGTGGTAGGGGCCAGCCGAGTGGCTCAGTTGGTTAAGAGCTTGCTCAAGAGTTTGAGCTCTGAGCAACAGCGGTTCGATGCCCGGCCTGAGCTGAGCTGCCGCTAAGCTGCCAATAGGTAGCAGGATGGCTCAGCTTAAAAAAAAAAAAAATAGTGGTTTTGGCCATCACTCCTAATGGCAACAACTGCAATTACTTTTGCACCAACTTAATAATACATTTTAATTTGGTAAACGAGCAATGTCTTGCAATACGAGTGGGTTTTTTCCAGAACAAATTATGCTCGCAAACCGAGGTATTACTGTATTTTATTATCTGAAATGACAACAGCAATGTGGCTTAGAAAATAATCCTAGAGGGAGACACAAAATAATTTTAGATGCTTTCTAGAAAACCAAATCGTTTCTGCTCCAGTGTACAGTGTTGTTTGTAAAATAAATGTTTCACAAAAACAACAGAATGTTTTAGATACTTTAATATCTCAGCTGAATCCAAACTCTAGGTTTCTCATGCAAAATACAAAGGATGTCAAAACCAACTAGATGGAGGCTATAATGAATTACAACAAACTTATGAAGGATTTAAGCTGTAATCATTGCAAAGAAAGTGACTATTCGAACACTTGATATTCTTAGGTAATCTGGTTTTATATTAACATGGGGATATATTATTATGTATTTTTATAATCTATCCACAAACAATTACAAGGATGTAATCAAGGGAAAAAACATCAGAGCAACTAGATTGCTCTTTCTCTATTATTTGTTTCAAGGTAGGACATCGTCCCCTAAAAAAGCAAACAGACACGGCAATAGCCCTGTCTTCTAGGGATAGGACATTCTCAAATTAAAAAAAAAAAAAAAAATCACTTAAATAAGGATTTGGTTTGTCATACATTAATCTTGCTCTGTATAACACTGTAATTTTTTCTATAATTACATAGCTGAAAAATATAACTTTGAAAACACTTGTTACAAATTGTAATTACATCACCTAATAGAGTTCCTAAATAGTCACAAGCATTTTTTGCTATTAATTTAGTCTTCTGATCAATTTTTAAATCTTACTTTGGCACATTTTGAGGATTAGTTTACTAACATAATGAATTTAAATGCTCAGCACACAAAAAAGGCCCAGGAAATCCAGGATCTGGGTGGGAAATGGCAGATAGGTAGAACAAAGGAAATAGGAAAGAAATACTTGCTCAATGGTGACCCCTGCTGATAATTTAACTAATTTAAGAATATAGTTACCAACTCCAAAAAGAAAAAAAAAGTTAAAAGATCTATATTATTCATGTATATCAATATGACCTATATTATTCAAGCTTTATAAAAGAAATAACAAAATTGAACGAGTATTTTGGCAGAGAATACTAGTTATCCTCCAATCTCCATTCTCCTCCTGTCGAATAACAGAATTCCCAATTTTTAAGTAGCACATGGCTATGCGGAAAGATGACTTTATTTCCCTTGCAGCTATTGGGTTGTCGGAAAAGTCATGATGCATATTTGCCGGAAAAGTCATGACGCATATTTGCAACAAGAAACAGAAAAAATACATCATGACTTTTCCGACAACCCAATAGATAAGGCCAGGTTACTAAGTTCTAGCCAATGGAATGTAAGAAAAAGTGATGTGTGCAATTTCAGAAGTGTCCTTAAAAAGAGAGGGTGTGGCCCTTCTTTATTCCTCCCTCCATTCTGCTGCTTGAAATGTGGTTAGGATGACTGAACTCCATCTTGTATCATGAAGTTGAAGGCTACAGTTTTAAAGATAAGCAGAAAACTAGAAAACGCCTGCAGATGACTACAGAGACAACATTGGCTCTGGACTTCACGAGATAAAAAATAAACTTCTATCATATTTAAGCCACTTTTAATTTTACTCTGATACGTGCAGCTAAATTTATGAATAGATTTTTAGATTTTAAAAGGTATCTTTAGTTTTACTAGATGAAGAGTTCTGGTTGCCAAACATTGTGAGTGTGCTTACTGTACACTTCAAAATTATGAAGATGGCAAATTTTGTTATATGTATTTTCCCACAATTAAAAAGAATTTTATGTTTTTTTTTTTCACATTTTAACAATTCTAAATTTAAGAAGCATCTTAAAATTAAAATCAAAAGCTTTTTTGTGGTTTATAAAATAATGGTACATTTTATAATTCACAGCAACTTATATATGGTAAATTATAACCAATAAGAGAAAAACAGAAATAAAACAACTTAAGAATCACTAGGCTTCTCCTCAAACAGGCTCTGTGCTTTTTTTGCTCATGTTATTTTCTCTGAAGTACCCAGGCAACCAAACTTGCCTAATCTGTCAATAGAAATAGATTAATGTCCACTGGACTTGCTATCTATGCCATGAAGCCTTTCCCAATTTCCCTAACTGGATGTGATTGTTCCTTCTCCTGTGGAAACGCCAAAGCTCAGAACACTAGTTCTGAGCTGGTGTGGGTGTCCCTTTTAACAGACTGTAAGCTCTGAGGGAAAGGAGCCTTGTCTTGTTTAGTTCACCACAACCTAGTCAGCAAGCAACACAGTGCCTAGAAACTGCTGAACCAATGAATGCTGTTTATACCATAGGGATCTGGAATTTACTCTCTCTTTTCCTTTTCTTTCTTTTTTTCCACCTGTAGTGTAACATATCTATGTAATTATCTTATTGATGGCAAGACAATCACAAATTTCTTGACAATATTAAGTACTTCTTATTCTAACATGTTGCAGTACTCTTTTGACTGTAAATTCCCAACAGGTTTCCATGGTTTTTTCACTTTGCATCTATCTCTACAGCAGAGTGCATAAACAAACAAGTAAATCTGATAAATTGAATGTTACCCTAAATTTAGTAAATAAGTTGCAACTGACATCAGCACAGTAACAGATTTAATATCATTAGAACAAATAATTAAAATACATGAAGAAACAAAAGTTTGGAGGCTCAGCTTAGGGCTTATTTTTCAAGGGTAATGGAGTTACATTAAATTTATTTTAAAAAGAATTGCTAAATTTTCACCATCATGGAATTTCACCTGCATATAGCATTTTTAAACAGCTTCATTATGGTATAATTCACATACCATGACATTTACTGGCTCTAAGTGTACACTTCAATAACTTTTAGTCAATTTATGAAGTTGTGCAACCATCACAATTCACTTTTGATGAATTTCTATCACCCCAAAAATATTCCCCATGCCCATTTGCAAATCAACCCCTGTGCTGATCTCCAACCTCAAGCAAACACTAATCTGCCTTCTGTCTCTAGATTTTCCTTTTCTGGACATTTTAAATAATGGAAACATAAAATATGTCGTCTTTTGCATTTGGCTTCCTTTATACTGCATAATGCTTTTGAAGCTCATCCATGATGTAGCACGCAGCAGTTCATTTCTTTTTACTGTTGAATAGTATTCCAGTGTATGGAATGTCATATTTTGTTTAATCATTCCTAGTTGACAGACACTGGATTACTATACTCTTTTGATTATTATGAATAATGCTGCTATGATCATTCTCATACAAGTCTTTTGGTTGAAATATGTTTTCAAATCTCATGAACAGAATTTAAG